CTTGATTAGAAAGCATAACACCATTATAGAACAACATGTGATAATCGAGTGAAAACATGTTAAAATTGCCAGTAAGCAAGCAGAAAAGAGTGATATTTTTATACATGTATCTCAAGTTTAAGAACATAAATGAGCCTAAATACAGAGGATGGCTGACATATTTTGACAGTCTTAGCTATCATCACAGTGTCACATTATACATTTCACAGTGCTCCCTACCATAAACTGCAAGCTGCTTTCAATTATGCATGATGGACTTAAAAAAAGATGCCAAAGAATAAGGGAAGATAACATTCTAAACATTAAGACAAGCTCTTCTTAAATTACAATTTTAAACCTACTAATATGGCTTATAACCTTAGACATCCTGCCATGGTTTAAAAATTTGGTGTCATTATCATTCTTCAGCATCTAGGTGTACACCTGACCTGTATCATCATCTGTATTACACATATCTGTGGACAAGAGACATGACATGTGCTTGCAGAGCTCTAGGCAGGGGAACAGATTCTTGAAAGGTGTCTAAATGTTAGTGGAATCTTTAGCTCACACACACCTTTCACCATCTCAGGTTAATATTTATAAGCACAATATGTGGAAAACAAAAATTCTGAAACTACAGACTTCCTGTTAATACAGATTTTCTATCCAAACCATCTTCCTGTTCTTAATAATCATCAGCTCAGGACTGAAAGTTTAATCTAAAAACTCCACAAATTAATTGATACCTAGAGGTACTGGTAAGGCACCGATAAATTTAAAAATCTGTGCCAATATAATACAAATGCTGCATCTAAGGATTCAACCAAGGGCAGATGAAAAATGGCATTTGAACTGAGTGTGTACTGACTTTTTTCTTGTTGTTATTCCTTAAACAATACAGTCTAACAACCATTTACATTGTATTAGGTAAAAATAATCTAGAGATGACTTGGATAGGTGAGCACAGTGATGCTTGCCTGTAATGCCAGCCTCAAGCTGAGGCAGGAGAATCACCTGAGGATATACTACTCCATTTTATATAAGGGACTTGAACATTCTCAGATTTTGGTATTCACAAGGGATCTTTGAACTAATCCCCCAAGGGATGACTGAGGGATGACTGTGTATACCAGAAATCAGCCAGGCATGGTAATGGGCACCTGTAGTCCCAGCAGCTTGGGAGGCTAAGGCAGGAGGATCGGGAGTTCAAACCCAGCCTCAGCAAAAGCAAGGCACTAGACAACTCAGTGAGATCCTGTCTCTAAATGAAATACAAAATAGGACTGGGGATGTGGCTCAGTGGTTGAGTGCCCCTGAGTTAAATCCCTGGTAACACCCACCCCCCCAAAAAAAGAAGTCAGCAGTATAATTTTTTTCAATGGTATCATTCCAACAAACCTTGGAGTTTGTTGCCAAAAAGTTACTTAAACAAAACTTTAGTATGTAAAATCATGTCATCAGAAAAAGAAACATACTAAGTATTCTCCAATATTATAGAATTAGGTGGGTTATCCCAAGCCAGATCTACTGTTTCTGCTAAATCACCTAAAATCCATGTGTTGAAATTCTAACCCTCAAAATGATGGTCTTTGAGGGATAATTAGGCTGTGAGGGTGAAGACTTTGAATGGGATTAGTGCGTTAGAAGAAGAAACATGGCGCTTCCCCTCTGCTTTCTGCCCTGTGAGAATATAACTAGACAGCAGGCCTGTACCTGGACACTGGACTCACTAGTACCTTGAGATTAAACTTCCCAACCCCCAGAATTATGAGAAATGTTTGTTTAAACTACCAAGTCAATGGCAATTTGTTATAATAGCCTGAACTAAAACAGATAAATAAATATATCAACCAAAGAAAATATGTATTTCAAACCTTATGATTATCATACCTTATGATTTAGTATAACTCCTGAGGCCTTCCTGTGATTACTCTGATTGAACTTAAGCTGAGATGGACTGGGGATGTGGCTCAGTGGTAGAGCATTCGCCTAGCATGCAAGAGGCCCTGGGTTAGACCCCCAGCACCACAAAAGAAAAAAAAAAAGGTAAGTTGAGTCTAGTATGGAATTCCCTCAGATATATGTATGTATGTAGAGAAGCTGGCTATAGCATACACAAATTATTTTTATGACAATAGTGTCCAGCAAATTATCCATTCAAGTCTCAAAAATAAATGCTTTTACAAAACAGAGGTTGCCCAAGTCAGTCGAGAAAAAAAAGATATCCAAGAGTTAAGTTTTGATATCCCAAAAGAACATGACAAATTCTTTACCTTCAAGCAGGTAATTTAAACTATTCTCCAACCTTCTTTGGCCTCTGATAAAGGATTTATCTTGTATGAAATTCTTTACCTTTCATCTTCAGTCTCAGAAATGAGAAGTTGATGATGAATACATGTACATACATATGTATGCATGCATACACAGTTCCTCTTAACTGGGGGTTAATTATTTAAAACAGAGGTATCAAGATGTGAATTAAAAGGCAAACACAACTGAAACAGAGAGAATATAAATACCAGAAGAGGCTCTTTAACCTGTCCTCCCCACAAATTGTGGGAGAATTTTGAGATCATGATTAGGGCACAATAAGATATATTTCATCCATCTAGCATTTTTTTGAGAAGAGTTTAAGGGTTACTAAACATAAAGAAGAATACTTAGCAACTAATATATAATACTTCATTTGGACTTTTAGGTCTATATGTGTAAAGTGATTATAGTTCAACAGATGTGTTTACTTCTACAGTATAATAATTATGATCACTGAAAGATTTACTCTCCAATAGAATTCATAGTAATTGAGAAGGCTGATAAGGGAGGCTTGGCTTGTATATAGTAACACGGGCCTTCATAAAGAATTAGAACACAATTCCTCATTTCATAAATGTCAAAAAACTCTTTGAAGGCAAAAAGGGACCTTATGAGGAGGCTTTAAGAAACCAGAAAATATAATATAAAAGTAAAACATAACTAAAACCATGTTGAAATCCAAAAGAAGTGTTATACAATCTAACCTTTTCACCCCAAATCAGTTCCACCTTTTTCTTGCCACTCCAACATTGATGAAATGTAGAGTATTTGAAATTTATTCTGGAGACACACCAAGGGACTCCAAAAGGCCATGGAGGGAATTTCAACTAAAATTCAAAAGCCATACAGAGGTCTGTGGAAAAAAAGAAAAAAAAAAAAAAAAAAAAGCACACCACAAATCAAAATCATATTAGCATCTACAGGTTTAATAAACTAATTAAGAAACTTGTGCCAATCTTACCATTAGCTGAACACAGAATGAAGGTGACAATCTAAGAACAAACCAACAGTCTCACTTCTGCAAAACCACCATAGAATCACCAAAGAATAACATGCAATATGTGACTATTGCCTCCTCTTCACACGCACTGGTGACTTCTCAAGATTTTAGTTCTGGGAAATTTGTAAATGTTTTTCTAAATTTATGATATTAATTTCATTTGTTCACAGTATACTTGTACAAGGGTCAGGCTTAGTCCTGGGGAATAGCTGTAGTTGCCCAACAACAATGTATTAGCCCTATATTAGGGAAATATTTGTAGGAAAGGGTGTAAAGAAACACAAACAAAAACAAAACAGAACTACCATATGCCCAACAAAAGAACATCTAATCCCATCCGATCCTCATCTTCATTATCCTCTCTATACCAATACAAAATAATCAGGTTTTTCTGGGAAACACTCGGACCACCGGGGGAAAGAACACCAAACATCTCAATTCACTCTAAGGAACTCCCAAGAATATATTGATCTCTAGCTGTTTTTTTCAAAAACAGATATAAATCAAAATCGATGGAACTCTTAATTTAATTGTTAGTCCAGATGTTTAAAACATTGTTTTAAATTAATTTTGCTTTTTCTAAACTTTATTTCCTGATATCTCACAATCCGAGATGTCTTCATGACTTCTCCGACGGTCACTCCTCTTTCGGGTTCCGATCACTTTACCGGGTCACTAAAAGGGCCACGTGGTTACTGGCAGCTAGAACCGACTAAACTTCAGATCCACGGTTATGGAACACTTACTAGATGCCTGGGGTGACTACTCGCATTCCAGTTCATCAGAGACCTACACCCGGAATGAACCTGAATAGTTCCTCAATAGTTCAACGTCCTCCGGAAAGCTCACAAGTTCCCCAAATTAGAGTGCACGTGCAGTAGAAACGGATCCCGGCAGGATCGTGAAATAAAGGACGGAGGTTTTAAATGTCCCTGCCCTAAACAGCAGCCCCGAACCGGCGTCGGGACTGTATCCTCGCCAGGACTCGGAAGGACATCCTCACCAGGGTTCGAAACACCTAGGAGACCCGCGCCGGGGCTGACCCCGGCCCCTGGAACCCGGTGAAGACGCAAACCGCCGGGCGCCCCCAGCGCAGCCACCTGTCAGAGCCCGGAGCAGCCTCCGCACCCCGGAGCCTCCGCGCTCCGGCCCGACGGCGCCCACGCCCAGGCACCGCTGCCCCGGGGCTCCGGCGGCCCACACTGCCGCCGCACGCGCTGGGGCCAGGAAGGACCCGGCTCCTGACCCTGTCCTCCGACGGGCCACGCACGACCCTCCGCTGGGGGCGAGGCTCGGGCCGGGTCAGCCGGCCCGCGGTGAACCCGGCTGTCCTCTTCTGCCCCCTCTTTCTATGCGCCCTGCTCATCCGGGGCGCTGTTTTCCAATCCGGGAGCCTGCTACTTACCTCTTGACAACCACACCGGGTAACCCCCACCGCCTTGTTCAACGTCGCCGCCGCCGTCGCCGCCGCCTCCGTCTTCGTCACCGTCGCCGCCGCCATGTTTGTTGTGTCTCCGATCCCTTCCCGCCCCCTGCCTTGCCCAAGTCTCGCGTGAGTAAGGCGCAGGGCGCAAGCGGAGGAGGGCACCGTTTGTCTCTCTTAGGGTTCCGTAGGCACGAGGGGGCGTCGTCTCCGGGGTGTGTGTGAGGGGCGGGGCCCGTCTCGGCCCGCCCCCGGGTGCGGGCGCGAGGCCAGAAGCGCAGAACCCAGCCTGCCAAGCGTTCTGGCCTGCGGCGGCTATGAAGGGCTCAGCTGTTCGGCTGCTGCGGAGCAGCGGTCTGGTAAGTGTGTTCGTGGCGAGCGTCCTGGGCCCCCAGGACGACAGTGGTCCCCGACGTCGTCGTCGTCGTCGTCGGGGTCTTCTAACAGGCTGGGAGCTGGTCCAGGGCCCGCTCCTCGCTCGGACCGCTGGTCCCCTCAGAGCCGCCACCCAGGGGCGGATGGCCACCGCGACCTCGCCCCGCGCTCCGCGCTCGGGCGGAGCTGGCTTCCGTTTGCGTTGGAGGGGGCGGGGGTCCATCCCTAGCGTGGGGTCGGAGCGCTGGCCGGGCAGGAGACCCTCACAGGCCACTGGTGAGAGGCAGCCAGACTGGTCTCTGACTCTCAGGTGCCCTAACCCGGCTTTCCCCGTGACTACTGACCCCGCTAAAAACAGGCCGGGTCTCGTTCCCGGCAGGTGTCTCCTGCCTCCTCCGCAGCCCCGCCCGCCGGGTGGAAGGGTCCCGGGGTCGGAGGGACCTGCCAGCCGGGGAGAGAATTCCCTCTGCCCGCGTCGCACGCTGGGCCGGCCGTCCTGCAGGGAAGGGCACCCCAGGGCTCGGGGGAGCCCCTTCTGGAGCCGCTTCCCGAAGCCTCCCGTTGTACTTAACCCTGCTCTGGACCCTGGCAAACTGCTCACTCCTCCGCAGCCCTGTGTCGGGATTGGTACTTACATGTTGAACATCCCAGTCCTCTTCAGCCCTGTCATCATATGGCGGGTTTTCAAAAATCCTCACACGTTTGGGTACCCTGGGTTTCTCAGTAAAGGTGGTACTTTGGAAGTTTTCCCTCTGCTGACGGTTGCTTTTTATATTTCGTTTGCTTTTGCTTTAACAAATCAAAGGCTCTTGTATTGCTGCTTGTCTCTCTTGCCCAGAGGCAGAACTCTTTTATAACTTCATCTCACATTAGAGATAATTAATGTTATCTGACTATTTTATAAGCTCGTGGTATTAAGAAAATTAGTAAAGTCATGTCAGTGTATTGTCACACAGGAATAGAATGTGTTCGCATGATTGCTGTTGAATAGTTTTATAATTGTTGGCTAATAATGTAAAGTTTTGTGGGTTTCATGTTTTGAATCTGTTTTAGGGCCAAAAATAATGACCACATAATGTGTGCTCTACATGTTCCTGGTTCTCTGCCTGCTTCTGATCTCACTTAATTCTCAGAAATAATATAATAAGTACTAGTTAATCTTGCAGATGCAGATTGCAGAAATGATTTAAGTGAATTCCCAAAGCTAGAAAGTGATAGAACTTGTGTTGAAACTCTGGTCTGATTAAAAACCCAACCTGCGTGCACTGCTGCCGCCCCTTCCTTAATGTCAGGAAGCTAGCTATTTTGTTTAGATTTGTTGGTTTTATTGTGGTAATGGTCCTTCATAGTTTTCAGAGCATACATTACCATATATATTTGAATGCTGACTGTAGCATGATAGTTAAGAATGTGCATTCTGTAGCCTGACTGCCTGAGTTTGAACCCAGGCTCTGTCACTTTCTAGTGGCAAAATCTTGGCCAAGTTTTTTACTCTCTTTGATCTGTTTTCTGACTCTAAAATGGAAAGAATCATACTACCCACTCCCTAAGATTATTGTGAAGATTGAATGAGTTCATATTCTAAGGCTCTTAGAAGAGTGCCCAGTCTATAGTTGGCTTTTTAGTAAATGTTAGCTATTATTCTAGACATGAGGTTTTGTGTCCACGACAGATGTAAGAAGGACTAAAACACCCTACCTTCAAGAAGTTTTATCTTTTCCTGAAGATTTTATAACTTTATCTAATTACATATTCATTTACATGTGAAACAAATCCTAAAGGGTCCACAGCTGGCCATGAGTTCAGAGGACAGAGTGATGAGTAGGAACATTGAGCAAAGACAGACTCTGGTAGCTGGTTTTAGAATTTAGGAAGCTTAGGCGGGGGAGCTTTGTAGCAAATGGGGAGTGAAATGTACATTTTAAGGAATTTGGGGGTTTATCATTTTGAGTTGTGGAGAGCCACTGAAGGTTTAGAGCCTCAGAGGTACTTAATCAGAGCTAAAGTGTAGTTAGCTGTGGTAGCGGGTGCCTGGAAAATAGAGAATTGCAAGTTGGGGCTAATTTTGATCCCTATCCAGAGACAAGTGTTACTAATCAACAAAGTTAACACTGTTTTTTGTTGTTGTTGTTTGTTTGTTTGGCATCCAGGTAGAGAGAACTTGGTAGGTGCCATGGTTTGAATTTAACTTCCAAAGTTCATTTGTTGGAAACTTGATCCCCTGGGAGGTGGGGCCTGAGGAGGTATGTTTAGGTCTTGGGTTCATTGCCCTCATGGATGAATAATGCCATCTTTGTGAAACTTTATTCCTCTTGCTCCCTCTTGCCCTATCACCTGATGTGGAATGTCACAACAAGATGCCAGCGCCTTGATCTTGGCCCCTCCAACCTCCAGAACTTTGGGGAAATGAATTTCTATTTATTTAAATTACCAAATTGGTAGTATTCTGTCATAGCAGAACAAAAAGGACAAAGAAAGTAAGTTGGCAAACAAATTATTCTTGAGCAAAAAGGGAGAAAAATAATCACAGGTTGTGTAACCAATCATGCTGCTTGAATTTAATCCTCTCTGCTACCTCTTAGCATGATGACTTCAGACAAGTGACTTCCCCACTCTAATTCCATTTCCTTTTCTCCAAAGTGAGAGAATAACAGTATTAAGTGAAATAGTAAATGCTAAGTACTTAAGACACATAAATACTCAAAGCCACTAGCTAATCATACAGGCAGAACCCGTTACCAATAATACCATGAGGGAAGAGGCAAGGTGTCTTTGCCTTATGCGAAGTACTTGGACAGGTCTTGGAGATTTATAAGTTTACAACAGGGGCCTTGAATCAAGGAAATTACCATTTTAATTGGGGAGATGGGATGTTAAAATGTGTGGTAAATGTGTGTGAAAATGAATACTGGGACAGTAGAAGATAGCTAAGATGGCTAATGCTAATAGTATGGGCAAATGTGCTTATACGAAGTGGGGTTTGAACTGACCATCTAAAGAAGGAATTGCTTAGCTTTTATCCTGCTTTTAGTTGCCTATCAGGCATCTGCAGCCATACACAAGGCCCAAGTGAAGAGAGAGTGCTTTTAGGACAGCAGCCTCTAAGTTCTTGATGCAGCGTATAGAGGAAAAATAATTTAGGGTAATGAAAGGAAGATGAGTAATTCTGTTTTAGACATGTTTAAAATGTTATCAACACCTTAAAAAGTATTTTGGAGGCTGGTCAGTAAATAGACCTGGAAAGTAGTAGGAAAATAGAAGCTAGAAATATAGATGCCAGAGCCACAGAGAGCTATGGGGCATCTGAGGGAGAGTAAAGAGGAGATGACAAGTCTGAGCCTTTGGAGTAGCGTGCAGACCATTCTGAGTGAACATCGAAGGAAGGCAAAGAAGCAGGAGAATTAGTAGAATAGAGTTAGAGGAGACTTTGCAACAAATATATCATATTCAGAATTGGAGCAAAAAAGGAGAAGGATATTTAAGAGCAAAAGTACAAGCGGAATCTGTGTCACAGAAAGTAAAGGAAACAAACCAGTGAAGGACAGGGAGTTGTTTAGACACAGTAGGTCCTGCACTTGGAGCTGCTGGAATACAAAACAAGCTGGCTGTGAACGCCTGCAGCACACCCTCCACTCAGCTTGGTATCCGCGTGACCCTGCAGACATTGATTGAGCCACTTCTGCTCTGGAACCCTGGCTTCCTGACTTCTAGTTAAGTGTTCTTTGTGCTACATAACCTGTCTTCCCTGAAAAGGAGGGTATCAAAGGAGTTCACAGTCCCCAATAAGGTGTTAGACCCAAATAACTACATAAAAAGCAATCCTATCATGTAAGATTTCTTTGGAAATAGAAAAAACTGAACATCTGGTGTCATTTTTGTACACTGGTGATTTAGGAATGAGAACTTGTTGGCATGGCCAGGGTTGTACAGAAAATAAACAGGTATTCTTTGTGTTAATTCCTGGGTACTATGCCCTGTCTTGGTTTGTTTAGTCCTCTTTTGAAGCAGTCACTATTATTTTAAAAGGTTGAGGGATTGTTAGGAAATTACAGAGATAAAATAAGGAGCCAGAAACTCATGGAAGGGAAAAAATTATACCATTTGTAGTTTTGGAGAATTTCAAGAACAAAAGTCTCTGTTTTGAAGAAAGCAAGCAGAAGGTAGTGAGATTTTGGTGTGGAAATTTGGGCTTGGGGAAGTGAAAGCAGAGAAAGAGGCAACATAAATGGGGTAGGCAGCATTTCAACCAGATCCTACCGTGGATATTCCAATTTTAGTCAGAATTCAGTGGAAGTTTGGAAGTTTGTGTAGAGGATTGGAATCCTTTAGCTATTGGGAGTCGAGAAAGGAACATTACATAATTTATTATTTTATCCCTTATCAGTGTCTTAAGAACTCCAGTGGATGCCTGAAACCAAACATAGCAGTGAACCCTCTATATGCTGTGTTTCTCCTATCTTATGTGCTTATGGTAAATGTTGCCTTTTTACTTACAGAAGGCACTTTACAGCTTCTCTTTATCATACCCATATTTCTAGCCTTACTACACTTGCACTTTGGGACCACAATGAAGTAAAATAAGGGTTACATCAACATAAACATTGTGATACTGCAACAACTAGTTGGGCAAGTAGAGAATACTGTGCTAAAAAACAGAGTTGCCCTAACACAACAACAACAAATCCTTATTGTTTCCCCTATTCCACTACAGTGGTGTGAACATTACCTTAAACTGTATAAACATCCCAACAACCAGCAGCCACAGTCAGAAACATGGCCTAAGCTATAAATCAGCCTTCTGAAAATACAGCAGCATGTGTAAATAAACCTTGCCTTTCTCCTGTTGATCTGTCCATTGTCAACCCCAACACCATTTAACTAAGAGTGGTAGAGAAAAGTGCAGTGTGTATAGTTCTGTGGAATTTGTCACAGGTCAATTTTTTGTAATCATTACCACAATCAAGATACAAAGATGATCAGAGAA